TCTCTCTCTCTCTCTCTCTCTCTCTCTCTCTCTCTCTCTCTCTCTCTCTCTCTCTCTCTCTCTCTCTCTCGTCGTTGTCTTCTTGCAGGTACAGACGGCGACGATCTCCTCCGCAGTGCAGCTATGGCGGACTTCGTATTCAGCGGTGGCACTCTTCAGCTATGGCGCCACATGCATGTAAACAGGTCGCACAGCAAACCGGCGACAAGCGCCCACTCAAAAACACAGTTCAGATACAAGCTCGCCTCAGATGGCTATGGCGCGTCAGCGCCTGTACAACTATCTGTTCGTCACTGAGCCCTACTCTGCTGTTCACACACACTCAACTTAGGATCACCCTGGATATCCCACACGCGACACACTGTACACACACGCACACATACACTACGCCCTTTTTCCAGCTATGGTGGCTATGGCCGCTACTACATCTACCACTATGGCTAAGCTCTCCTTCTCGCCCACTTCGTCTTCGGGCATACTGCAGACCACCTCGCACAAGTCGTTGTGGCAGCACTTCCGCATGGCTTACGCAGGAATGAATGAATGGCTGGGCGCTGCCTCTTGATTTATATTTCTGTAACTCGTTGGTCTGCCCCTTTCCCATGCCCGTGGTGCACACAGTCCCATACAGTACTTGCTTGACTGGACTAGGACTGACTGGGACTGGGTACAGCTGACTCAGCACAGGTGGACTGCACCACTTGCCCACTGGACTACTGTAAACAACGCGTGAAGGGCCATTTCCGGACCTTCCGGAAGTCTGTGACTTGGCCCTTCGACACTGTAGCAGCTATGAATTTGACCTTTCAGAAGCCCTACAGGTACGACTTCTAGGACCTACTAAGACCTACAAACAACAGGTCTGCAGATCGAACCCCTACCACCTGCGGACCCTACGACAGTCTACCAACTGCTACGAATACACAGGTCATGGGTTCAACTATCGGGGTCGACACAGATACTGTACACAGGTAAGGTGAGGACTAGGGATCGAGCCCTGGGATCTGCATCCGCTACTGCGAACAGGTGAATACCGTTTCAATATCATCAGCTTCTACTCCAGGCTGTCTTGCTTCATGGCCTTCAGGTGTCAAAAGCATACACTGGTGACAATGGCAGTTCATGCATTCCATTAGCAGGTCACATCTTTCTTCTCATGGGCATGCTGGAGGTGATTCACCACATGACAGCCCAACGTTTTGGGACAAATCTGACGACCTAGATCCCAATACTTTATTTCCAGAAGATTTGCAAAGTTTCTATGTTCTACATCCCTGAAGAATTCTGCGATTTGGCCAAGTATGCTTAGCAAACAGGGAGTGCCAATGCAATGTAACTGTAGCATTAACTCAAGGTCAACAGGGCTTGAACAGTACTGAGTCTACTGAGTGAGCCTCAACAATGTTAGTGCTCTAGTGTTCTCAACAGGTGATTCAGTGTGCTTTGCGAGGAACGAGCCCTCGGGAGGCCCTTTCTCGGGCATGCAAATGTTCTGGGCTGCGGCCCCCAGCAAGCCTCGTGGCCACCCTAAGTGAAGGTGGGCTTGTACTTCCACTAGAGACCTATTTTTGACATTTTTCATATGTGGGGTATCAGACAGTTGCCGCACACCAGTTGGTCACAGAGCAACGTGAGCCTTCTGTGGCTCCCTCCAGAAGCAACAGCTGCCCAGGGCTCAGGTGGCTGCGCCCTGGGGACACGCAGAGGGAGGCCGACACATCACACAGTGGCCGTGGACCTATGAGAATGCCGCTTTTTTGTCACACACCTACCACCAGCTAATGAGAATGCGGCAAACACTTGGAGCCTGGAGGGCTACCTGGATGTGCCTAACTGCATGAGGCCCAGGCGAGTATCGGAGACTGGGCCTGGGCGTAGACACTTGGGGCCAGCCTGAAGCTACTGGGCCCCTACACATCTAGCCCAGACCAGCCAGCAGCTGGGCAAACTTTCCATAAAGTAAAGTGTGCGCCCCTGGGCAGGGCATTCTGGGCTGAGCAGGCAATGCAGCCACGCTGCTGCTACGCCATGTGATACTGTGTTGAGCAGGCAGGCCAGGGCGCTAGTGGTGCAGTGGCAGCGGGCGCACAGTGGCCATAGTTGGGCTGCGCCTGCGGGTAGCAGGTGATGGCGATGGCGGTCTTCGGATAGGAGGTGCATGCAGAGGGGAGACGAGGTGTGATGAGGGGAGGAGAGAGACCATACCTGGTGTATGCTGGCTGTCGGCATTGGTGACGACGTCACGTACATCGGTCTTCGACTTTGACGTGATCCAGTTGCATGAACGTACAGAGGGGTAGATCGGCTGAGTAGTGTAGGCTGGGCGCTGGGCGCCAGACAGTAGGAGCGATGTTGGATACTGTGTTGGTGTGGCCAGAGAGCTTGGCCATTGACATATGAGCTCATTGTATTGCTCTTATCTGGATAGTATCTTGGTGCATTGTGCTCTCTGCTTGGTACTTGACTATCTGGGCTACTTCGTGATTTTGCAATTTGGATTCTGTCTATCACTCTCGCTCATATTCCTTGCAGTTTGCTGCTCTAGTGTTCTGAAGAATGTTAGTGGCAATTCTGACGTCGAAACCTATGCTACAAGAGTGGCCCAGGGCCACTTGCTCGGCCGGGCCACTCTTGGCTGGGCCACTCAGCCATGGGAAGCCTGCACACACCTGCCCGGATCACCTGGGTGAGCCAAAAAATGAGGTGAAGGAAAAGAAATCATCGTGGGGCATTTTGTGAGATGTGCCCAAATCGGGCCTTACCTGTGAATGTGGTGATGTCTCACATTAGGGGGTCTGTTTGGTTTAAACAGCATTTAAGTGGGGATGAAAGGGGCTCAAAGGGTGTTACATCTTCGACTCACACGGGTCCTACCGGACCCGACTTAGGGCCGGAGGGACACACCAGGGCCTAAAGGCCCGACCTTTGGGGTTACAGGCCCTAAGGGCCTGATTTTGGACCATCACCCATTGGGTAGGCCCAAATGACACTTCGTTTGGGCCTAGCGGCGCTCTTGAAGCTGCCGCCCGCCGATTGAGGCTGAACCGTCCATCTGGACGGTCCAGGGTCTGGCCTGGCCTCGCAGCATCGAGGCCAGACCATTGCCCACCGGTATAAGTACCGGTATCCGCCTCAGTAGGGGGATCGGCCTACCGGAACTCTACCGGCACGGCATGGTCAGTGCTAGGGCACTGTTTGATGCGCTAAACTTAGCGCAGGGGCTGAAGCAGGAGCGCAGCAGCGAGCGGAGCAGCAGCGGGCGACTGAGCTTGCACGGCGGTTA